AAACTACTCGGAGTACAACCGTTGATAGGAGAACACGCTACAAAAGAACGAGTCCTAGCAGAACTCAAACGGGGTGTCTCGGTCATTCACTTTGCTGCACATGGATGCGAGGAAAACGGACAGATCTTTCTTGCTCCTTCTCAACCTTCAACAACAAACAACATTCCAGAGGAGAAAGACTACATCTTGACTATGAAGGAAGCACAAGACAGTAGAATTCGTGCTCAACTCGTTGTGTTGAGCTGCTGCCACACTGGTCGGGGTGAGATCAAATCAGAGGGAGTCGTAGGAATGACTCGAGCATTTCTTGCTGCAGGAGCCCGTTCAGTTGTAGCATCATTGTGGGCCATTGCTGATGAAGCTACTATGTTATTTATGGTGAAATTCTATTCTCATCTCAAGAATGGAGAGAGTGCAAGTAGGAGCCTACAGCAAGCAATGAAGGAGATGAGAGAAACAGAGAAATACAAAGAGCCAAAATACTGGGCTGCCTTCTTTCTTATTGGAGACGATGTTTTACCATCACTGTGTAATTAATGAATTTCACAATCCGGTGAATACGACGTCAGTAAGGACAGTACCTATTTTACAACTGTACTGAACTTTCAAGAACCTATCACTTGTTCAAACTGGCCRTTATTTTTTCTTTTCCTAGAAAAATGCTATTTTTGTTTTGTTCTTTTTTGTTTATATTTGTGTGTTTTTGTTTTGTTTTGTTTTTTAAATCCGGTCATGCTCACGTGAAGTGAAAACTTCAAATGACGATCCTGACTTTATTATCTGTAATCTTGGACAAAAAGTTTCACAAGAAATTCCATGATTTTGTAGCTGAACAGTTTATTCACTCTACTATCRAAACATGTTCCATTTATTACAATCAAACTACTGTACAGTCATAAAAATATATTCGTTGACATAATGGCATGTCAATAACATTATAGATATGTCGTCAAATTGCATTGCTAAAATATATAATTCTACAAGAAATACTCTGAATTCAGTATTATCAAATATAAAACGGGTACTGGACAGAAAAGTTGAAAGGAAAAATTCAAATAATTTCTTTTTGTATACAGTAAACCCCGGCGTTAAATAACCTAGATTATTCCAAGTCAGCCTGCATGAGCACGTTCTCAGGCTCTCTCGGTTCTTAATTTTTCTTAAAAAGGAGAGCTTGTGTAGTGGTTGTGGCATTTTATATCAAATAATTCATACTTTTTCATAGAGGGTAAGCACACAGGTTGACTTTGTATTTGGAAATCAATTGAGAGCCTACTTTGAAATTCCAAGCTGAAATGGCTTCTTATACTAGTTGTATTATGAAAATTTCAGACTGACATTTTCTTATATTTTTAGCCTCTACGCGGAGTTTTACTGTATTGCATAATTGCATTTTAGAGCTACGTCCAACTCACTGCTGCGTAATTGCGTCATAACAGCTATACTTRAAGGCAGACACAATAAAATATTTTACGGTTATATATTAGGAACAACTTTAGTTGCTCGGCGGCCGGGTATCCAGCATTGTTGCCTCGTCACGGCTAGGTCTGAAACATGTTTGTATATCCACTGCAAAATACCGTTAAAATACGTTAAACTATTTAAATATTTTAAACTAGTTGTACTGTAATTATTATTATTGTTGTTGGAATAAACAGAAAAAAATTGTATTAGCTTGTTATAGTTTTCATTCCGTCCTTAGTATTTTTCATTACTGCGCTATACTCTTTCCATGTTTAAATGTCGTCATATTATTTATGAACCATTACCAGAATGTACTACTAGACAGGTCCATACTTTATATGTCGGTCAAAGGGTCTTCTCTGCAGTTAATAGCGTACAGAAGCTTTTGGCTGGTGATTTCTTGGGTGGAGTATTGAGGTAGTTTAACCATAAACATACAAGTCTCTACTCGGATATATCTGGCATCTGACCGACCTAGAAATGCAGTAAGTCAAGTTAATGGACATGTAGTGAATTGTAAAATTATCAGGATTATCGTTATACCGATGTTCTTCTGAACATTTTTCGTCGCCTCAGTGATTTGCAGTGCATTATGGGATCGGTTTCTGGATAAAACAAAAGACAACCTCCATGTTTTGTCCCAAAAATATCCTATACAATGAATTACGTATACTGTATATGACGTGAAAGCTTCAAAGGTCTATTTACATTGCATAAAAAAGCAAATGGTCTCGAATGAAACACCTTGGGTCAGAGTCTATTCAGAAATCTAATTGAATTTTTCGGTCGCTTTTTTACGACACTTTTTCGACTAAATAAATTCAATAGCTTCTGTTTTTTTTTTAAAGCTCCTTGGCTACTATACCTGTTCCATCAGGGGGTCCAATCTTCATAGGATACGGGGGRACGTGTACATCAGCGGTGCTGGGGGTACCCTTCTGACATGTACATATACTTGGAAGCCGTTCTTGATTACAGGCAAACTTGACAAACTTGCAGAGCTGATCCTAAAAAAAAAAAAAAGAAAAAAAAAACAGGAGTTAAATTACAAAAACTCCCATAAACAAAACACATACAGCACAAAAAATCGCAACGTTTTAATTAGAAATTACATTGACAAATGTCTACAGCTATTTCAGAAAAAAAATTGAATACTGAATACTGTGATTTCCAAGAAAGTAATTTCTGCAAGTTACACACCACGTTAGGTGGTTTACAAATTGAAAATTCTAAACGTAAAGGCCCACGTGCGTTTAAGAAAATTTTCCTTTTTTAAGAGATAGGAAAATTCTCCATCGTTGCTTTTCAACCATTCAGATAACACCTTTCAAAAAGAGATTATTGGAAACAAACAAACAAAAACAAAACAACAACAACAACAACAACAAACAAACACAAAAAAACGACCGCAAAGACTCTTAGATGCACATAGACCTTAAATTGCTTCTCATTGTAGTTCTTGGAACCAGGAAAACGTCCTTTCAAACGTCGATAGAACGACAAGCAATGCATTGTGGTCTTAGAATACACTATCAATATTCAACGTTTTTGAAATATCTGTTTACTCAATCAATGGATACCTGAGTAAAGCTCTCTAATGCATTCCAGAAATATTCAATGTGTTGATCTGTTTCTTTTACTCCTGCCACATACGTTGTATGAGCCTGAAATTAAAACATCAATTGTTGAGTTTCGCGATCTCTTTTACGCTGTGTTAGCCTTAATTATGTGCAAAATATTCATTAAATAAAACTCGTGAGATTTCAAACTATTTCCATTGCATTTGCACGGCCTGTTAGTGAAGAAAAAAGAATTTATTACATGGTTTGAGACTAACACASCGTAAAAGAGATAACTTATAAATAAACTACATAAACACAGACGAACAAAACAAATTAATTAATAGAAAACACTCCAGGCAGGAACTAACGACCCCTATACAAGAACTACCCAACTAAAGCGAATATATGAATGAAAAACGAACAAAACGCACACAAACAGGACAAATTAATAGAAAACAGGCAGGAACTAACGACCCCTAGACAAAAACTACCCAACTAAAGCGAATAAATATATGAATAAACKAACAAAACACGAAAAGAAAAAAAAATGAAGAACAATGAATAAAGCAAAACAAATCTCAAAACGAATCTCAAAAGAAATAGCAAACAAATAAGCAATGAACTTATAATAAGTAAAGCGGCATTAAAACATAAATTAACATACTAAAACGAAAATTACAAAAAGACTGGCACAAAAAACCTCTTTTATTCAATTGTTTAAGTACCTTGAGAAAGTCCAGGTCAACGTTTGGTATTCCACAAGTTCTTTTCTGTAAGTCTGACGGTTGTAAAATACACAGCTCGTGAATAGGAACAACTGAATAGAAACCACATCGAACAGCGGCCATACGCGATGGACAGACAAGCTCCTTTAATCGTAGTTCTCGTATTAGGTCCACGTATTCTCGATGATTCTCCCATCTTTGAAATGAGAAAACAGACTTGTAATGAAAATTTATAGAAGAATAATACCACTGAACAAGTAGCGCAGAAGTTGGAATTTATATTAAAAACTTTAAAAATTAAAAAATCAGAAAATCAAAAAAATAATAAAAAAATAAAAAATAATGAAAAATAATAAGAAAAAATTGAAAAATTGAAAAAAAATAAAAATAAATTTAAAAAATTTAAAAATAAATTAAAATATAAAAAAGGAGCGCAGAAAAAATCCCACCAGCATCTACTACAACAAAAAACAATAACGATGACATGAGTAATTATGGCATCAGCACAACATTAACATTAACAACAGTGAYATCAACAATTATAACGACTATACTAATAATGAAAGCTAAAAAATAACCAACAGCAATAACAAAGGATTAAAGCGTTCTAGTAACTTACGTTACAGGCCTGCTATCACCACCAGGACACAGCTCAACTTCTTGACCATTGAGAGAAGTGTACACAAAACGATATGGACACAAATCTGCCTCGAAACACAACGTACTGAATTCTTCTTTGCTTTCCACCTAAATCACATAATATCAAATAATAAAATATCAAAATATTTGAAAGTTATTCGACTATATGAATACTCTAATTTTTTGAGTTTATTCCAATGAAAAGAAAGAATAGAAAACTTTAGGAAAACATCCTGGGATACAAAAACACATAACGTTACTTTTGGACAATTTTTTCGTTATAATTCTATCAGAGTCGTCGCCCCATGTCAGACAGTCCTGAATTAGGATGGATTCCGGATTCTAGAGAGATTTTTTCTTGATTCTGGATTCCAAAATTGACTGCAATACTCCAGTTTCGAATTCCCCATTGTACAAGCTTAGCTTCAATCAAGCATGAATTTTTATTGTCTTCTTTGTACACAGAATGTTTGCATTACAATAGGATCTCTATATTACATGCTTTCGAGGTTCAGGCTGCACAAATAAGGTCTCGAAACTGGAATATTACTAACACGGGGCAAAAGCCGGATTAATGGYGAGGGCCTAGGACCGAAACTAATAACAAATTATATTGACGCACCTCGGAGAATCGTCTGATATAGTTGTAGGTGAGAATATCTGTTTCGTACAAGTCTGTTTGAGGATCAAGAGGAAGATCTAGTAGACTTTTCCAAAACACTGGCATCAGATCAACAGCAAACGGGATGTCTGAACGCAGAGCAATACCAAGAAGCTGAAAAAAAAAAAAACACAATAAAACAAATCAAGAAATAAAATAAAATTTAAAATGAAATGAAAAATAGTGCGACATACAATGACGACCCCACAACTCTAGCATTAATATTGCACGATATCTTATCCAGGAAAGCTTGTTATCTTACGAGTATATTATCGTACCTGACCGAAGAATACTAGCAGCTTCTCCTCTGAGTAACTCATGGCACCAGGCTTTAATATAAGCATTCCCTTATAAAACAAAAACATTTTAAGCCATTCTAATTTGTGAGAAAATATCCGACGAAGTAAGAGATATAACAATATTGCTGACCAAATCTAACCTTATTCTTATTAGCCGCTGTGCTGGGACAGGGAATCAACAAATTGATATGCTGAGACTGTAGTTCACGAGCCATTATCCACATGAAATGACGGAACGAACCACCTGAAATAATCATTTACTTTGTAAAGACTGTTGCAGTAGCTTGAATAAAACCGTTAGCATCCGCTCTGAAATATATCATGACGATGACGATGTTGTTGTTTGATGATGATGTTGTTTGGTGATGATGTTGTTGTTTGATGATGATGTTGTTGTTTGGTGACGATGTTGTTGTTTGGTGACGATGTTGATGTTTGATGATGATGTTGTTGTTTGGTGACGATGTTGTTGTTTGATGATGATGTTGTTGTTTGGTGACGATGTTGTTGTTTGGTGACGATGTTGATGTTTGATGATGATGTTGTTGTTTGGTGACGATGTTGTTGTTTGATGATGATGTTGTTGTTTG